TATATCTATTACATTTTAGGATTAATCTTATCCCACGATTTTAAAGTTTTTGTAGAGAAGCTTTCCTGTTATTGTCTAATAATAGACATGGGTTTTGATATTTTTTCAGTGTCCTTAACTGGAGGTGGTGAAAGTACCAAAGCCGTCACAAACGCTTCACCCACAGCTCAACCCTAAACATCGCTATATTATGTGCCCCCCCAGCTACTTATATTTCCACCTAATTCTTAGAAAGTATGTCTTTTGCATCATTCCATAATAGTTTTGCAACTATTTTATAATCTTCCAGATGTAACAGTCGCATTGATTTACTTTTGTTAGTTCTTGCCAGACTATGAAATGAACATTCAGATAGTTTCAAAATATTAAATTCTTGACATTTTTCTTCTTATTTCCTTGATGTAAAAAATTGGAATGATGCTTAAGTAATGTATTGCTGATGTCTATGTACCAGATCTAATCTAAATCTACCTTATATTCAGTATGTTGAGACTCCACTGTAACCTTTTGGAAAGTTTGATCAAAACCTGGGCAGGATACTTTCAATCTGCATAATAAAGTAATTATTTTGTGAACAAACTTAATGAACGCAAATCGGTATGGGATGAACTAATTACTTCGAAAGGTTATAGTGGAGACATGCCTTACTGTGGGTCACGATGCATTTTAGTTTTATTCCTGTGAAACCGATATGCCTTGAAACTGTGCCTTCGAATGTGAGACTATCGCACAATTATTCTTTAGTATTAACAAGGAGATTCTGAATTCATATTCACTTTTATATTCTAATAACAGAACTCTTGAGAGGAAAATTATGGTTATAATTTAGGTTAAGTTTATGTTGATATGATAGTGGAATTTTGTGATTACATTTACCCAAATAAATATTTATTTAATAATTGCAATTTTTCTTCCCCGTCTAAGTTGATGCTTCTGTCTGGTTTGAAAAATAACGGTTTCTGTCTGTCTGGTTTGGAAAATAACAGAGAATAAGAAAATGAATCTGAAATGGCAATCAAAGAAGATCTACCAATTTCTGGTCGTACATTCAAAATAAGAAAGGTACATTCCTAGTATTCTATTCTGGGATGATGTTGAACACAAAAATACCTCAAACAATCCTATCATTTCTTTAAAACATTTTTCACTAATTGAAACCTGCAATTCTCTCAACAAACTAAAACTCACAAGCAGTGATAACATACCTAGCTTTTTCATTAAAGCTGCTGGATTCAAGGAGCAAGTCTTACAGAAACGCCATCTATGAGATCGATAAAGAACTCCTGGAATTTTAAGGATAAACCAGGTTCGATCCCATAGATGGCGATGTTCGTAAGGGGAGATGTCATCGCCTTTGCTTTCTTGCTGGAGTAGTTGAAAATGTCTATAGAATGTGTTAACCATATATTTGTTGATAACTCTGTTCCAATCTCTTTGAGAGATTTTCATAACCTGGTCAGGTTTCTAACCGCCCGCCATGTGGTTTTGCACACATTTCAATTTCAGAGACGACTTCAATATTTAGCAGAAGTTTCTTTTTTGTTTAGAGTAACTTCTAAGAGAAAAACACGTGACTAATACGGAAAAATTCAACAGTATATTCGTTTTTATTCAATAAAAATAACTTACATAACAGTATATGAATAATACCTACATGATTTGAATACTCTGTTCATATCTTCAAGCATATCAATAAAAATAAAACAAAAATGTTGTTGCCGAAGACGTCATGTAACGATTGTTCACTTTATTTCTTACATTAGGGCAACTAAACAGAATGACTAAGTAGATTCGAAAGTGGAGGTTTATTAATTGCATGATTTGGAATTCGTTCACTCTGTCGTATTTTTTTCCAAACTATTTTCTATAGATGAGTTATCTTTATTTTCAAGCTGTTGCCTCCACATGTTTGCATACATTCCTTCCTGACCAATGAGATGTTCATGCCTGAAAAGAAATGATTCAATAATATATACAGTGGTTTCCAATTAACAAATTCAAAATGGCAGTCACCTCAACATAGAAGTTTTAACATTTTACAACGATTCTGAATCTTATTTTTCATTTTAGAACTTTTCATGCAGACTCACCTTCCTCTTTCCACAATTTCACCATCTTGAAGAACTAGTATTTCATCAGCATGGATAACTGTCGATAATCTATGAGCCACTATCACAGTTGTAATATTTGAACACATGGTGTCCAAAGAGTCCTGAAACATAAATATTTATTTGCGTTAGAAGCTATCCAGCGGGGTTGTCACATTGAGAATTCCATTGTTCGATAAAACTGTGTCTGAAATAATTTTTACAACGAGTAATGAAAAAACAAACAATAAATTTACAATTTTTAAAAAACTGTACATTTACTTTAGCAAAACCTTTACAAACAATTTTTGATCTTTCTTTATCCATAAATCTGGAAATAGAGAAAACAAAAAACTACCCCCTGGCGAGTAAGTAATCTGAAATTCCCAAATTCCCAAAAACTTAAGTTCGATACGAAAAACATAATAAATGAACACCAACAAGGCTTTATACCTGGTAAATCGTATAGATCAGGAGTATATAAGTAGACTTGTGGCTCTTGCCCAAAACTTTATATTGGCCAAACGGGGAGGACTTTTTCTCAAAGAATTAAAGAGCATAGAAGTAGTTTATTGAATGTCAAATTTAATTTGTTTTTTTTGAGAAGATTACCTAGAATTCCAATATGAAACAAATCTCATCAGGAGCTCGTAAGCAGGCACGGTAGTTGTATATTTCGTTTACTCTTGGAAGCGTGATTTGAAATAGACGGCAACATGAAAACTACCTACTTGTATATTTCTCTCAGTCTGCGTATCGAGTGCACTCGTGGCCTCATCCAGTAATATGATACTCGGTGCTTTCAATAAAGTTCGGGCTATCGCGACTCTTTGTTTCTCTCCACCACTCAGTCGGAGTCCCCGCTCTCCTACTTGAGTGTCATAACCCTCGGGGAAAGTCAATATTTTGTTATGTATATCGGCTCCTCTCGCAGCATCGATTACATCTGCTTCCGTAGCAGTTAAACGACCATACTTTATATTGTATCTGAAAAAGTAAGTTAATGAAGGTTTCACAGAAGTCGGGATATGTTAAACAGGGAATTTATTTAAAAAAGTTATCAATGGTTGTATTATTACACACTTTGTGTAATTATTACATTTTTTTATGAATACTAGCCAATATAAAAAGCTGTGATTCATTAAATTTATTCCAAAAAAAATGTAGTAAATATATTTCAAGTAATTGTCATCAATAATTCGTCTTGTTTTGTAGTTTCGTGTTTTTAAAATGTGACTTGTCTNCATCACATTTCTCCAGTGTATTACATATTAGATTATTGAAACCTTCTTACTCACTTGATAGTGTTATTGAAGAGAACAGTGTCCTGTGGAACAACTCCGATGGCCCTTCTCAAAGATTCTTGTGTAACAGTCTTAATATTCTGTCCATCAATCACAATGGATCCAGTATCAACATCATAAAATCTAAATAACAGTCTAATAATAGTACTTTTACCACTTCCGGAAGGACCCACCTGAAATTACAAGAAATATTGATGTGGTTTTACATATTTCATCATATATTATATTAGTAAAATTATGGAAACATAAAAAAAGTAATACAAATTATGAAACAACAACAAAAATTAATTGGCGCTCCGGGGCGACTTCATTGATTCCAGTGGCGCATTTGCTTTTTCAGCTGCAGGAAAAACTTGCAACACCACATCATCTGAAGATCTTGTTCTGCTAATGTCCTCTCTTTCATAGAATAAAATGTAGGGTGTCAGTAGATCACCAAAGTCGATTCTGGGACATCAGCCATTGAGAGCGCGCTAGTTTGGTGTTGCGCAGTTACGCTTTGCGCAGTATGGCTTGGTTCGGCGTACTATGTATCAATTTCGCTCGAATCGTTATCTTTCAAACCGCGATAACGCTGCTTGATTCTCAACCGTACGCGTGACCTTGAAAGATAACGATTCGAGCGAAACTGATACATAGTACGCCGAACCAAGCCAAAGCGTAACTGCGCAACATCAAACTATACCACGCTCTCATTGGCTGGTGTCACAGAATCGGCTTTGGTGATCTACTGGTGCCTCTAGAGGCTTCAATAAATTTCAGATATCGCCAGAATCTTTAGTGACACGACTATCGTCAAACTTAAACCAGCCCGTTTCGTCTTTGACCAAGGCGTAATAATGACCAGATTCGACGTCAGAACCACAGTGAACAATGACTGCATGAAGATTATAATAGTGTTCTGCTAGATTGAAGTGTTCATCTTTTTCGAATTTTATGCAAATATTTATTTCAGTCAGTATTCACTTGAATTCATGAATCTATTACTTCTAGAAAAACACCTAATTTTCAAATATGTTGATTATTGGCATTTTGTGCCAAAAATAAATGATTAATTCTGGCAAAACAAGTATATTTTGAAAAAACAATTAAAATAAAATATTACTTCTAGGAAAATGAGTAATTTATAAATATGGTAATTATTGGCATATTATGCCAAAACTTAATTGGATGAATAGGTGTGAATTTGTTAATTATTTTGTAAAAATAGGCAATGCGGCAAATAAACAAATAAATAAGGATTCAACTTGATGTCAATCCTTTTTCAAAAATCAAAATCAATTAGAACTGTTAAAGTGATTCCATGTATTCTGTAAAACTTACCAAAGCTACAGTTTTCCCTGGCGGTACAGAAAACGTAACATTTTTGAGAACTAATCTCTCCGGGAGATATCCGAAAGTGACATTATTGAACTCCACAGCTCCCCTTTTGACTGAAATAGCCCCCGCTCCTGGGGCATCGATAACTTCCTGTTCCTCTCTCAATAGATCAAACATGTTTTCCATATCAACGAAATTTTTTTGAATCGCTCTAAAATATAATGACACTCATTTAGAATTCGCTTTCCATGCCTCTCCGCAGCATTCAATAATTGAATCACAGAGAGCACTTGCTGTCCCTACTAAAAAGTATCCGATCTAGTAGAATCAACAAAGTTATTCAAGGATTACTACAAACAATGAATGTCAGATTTTTTATTGAAATCACCTGTAATAAGTACCAAACCAGTTGAGCGGTACATAAAGCTGAACGATGTAAGTAGCAAAGAGTACGTAGTCATCTGCTTTGAGTTTGGGCTTATCTACGACAAGATGTACGCAAAGCAAGCTCCCAATCAACAGCCCACCGCAAATGATAATATTCTGAGTCATGTTCAACAGGTTTAATGTAACAGCGTTCTTAAACTCTTCTTCCTGAAAAATTGGANCACTTAAAACATTTCAATTAAATATATGTGCGACCAAATTTCGACAGGCAACCTGGCAAAAGTGTATTCAATTATTAATAGTTTCTTGAAAAAAATAGACTTTGTTCATACACTAAATACACTCATTTGCTGATAGTATCAGCATTTTATGGCACGCACCAAATAACCGTAAGCTATATAAAACTATGGAAATTGACATCAGAAATATGAGAATTTGTTTCGACTCAAATCCCTTCAGCCTCAGTTCAACTAAAATGAAATTTGTGTTCTATCATAGACAAATCACAGACGTGTATTTGAAAAATATCCTAACTGACAATATGTGGTCTTGTTATGCACTGTTTGTAACCTTTAGTGTAGTAATGAATCTTACTGGAGTTTAATCGTTATTTTTTACACTTCGACACGTGTTTCGATCACCAAGTGATCATCTTCGAGAGGAAGATTATTCTTCTGACAAAATAGCATCTTTGACACTCATACCTGGTATTTCAGGACAGCCTCTCTGAAAGCTTCAACTTCATATTGTTCAGCACCATAATATTTGACAGTTTCAAAATTTAGCAAAGAATCGACACTTCTAGCTCTCGTTTCGTTATCTGCCAAATTCATACGTCTTTGGAATAAGATTATTGCTGA